GGGCCCGTGTCGAGAGGCCCTCATTCCCGGTGTCTTTCCTGCACCTTCTGCCTCAAGTCTGCGTCCAGTGCCACAGGTGATACCCTGCAGGAGAGGGGCGGGGCTGGGCGAAGGGAGGGGACACCCACCTCCCTACCCCCGCCCCCCTGCAGGAGAGAGGGGTGGGGCTGGGAGAAGGGACACCCCACATGCACGCACGCACGTGCACAGACAGCCCCATGTGCAGGACTGAGGGGTGGAGCTGGGAGAAGTGAGGTGGCACCCTGCACACACACACACACACGCACACACATGTAGGACAGAGGGGCAGAGCTGGGAGAAGTGAGGTGGCACCCTGCGTACACACCCTTCCCCACCCCATGCAGGAGAGAGGGGCAGGGCTGGGAGAAGTGAGGTTGTACCCCCTCCGTGCACCTATGTGTGCGTGCACACACACACACACACACACACACACACACACACATGGACTGAGGGGGAAGGCAGCCTCCACGAATCTACTCTCAGGATGGAGCAATTGCTGCGAGGTATGGCGGGGGCGCCCCTGTAAAGAGCCGCCTGAGGGGCCACGCCCCAGTGCCAGCCCACGCGTCTGCGGGGCTGCCCGCTCCTGGCTCGGGCGGTTGCCCTGGCCCCAGCAGCGTTCTGCAGGGTCACACATACCTGAGTTGTGTTTGTTAGGCTGAGTCCTGCTCTCACCAAGCAACGTGGTAGCTTCCGGGTGCCGCGGCGTCCGCTCTGACCTATGGCAACCCCACGCGGGTCGGAGGCCCCATCCCACGGGGTCTTCAGGAGCCGACGTTCCTGAAGCTGACAGCCAGGCCTCTCTCCAGCGGCACCTCCGGGTGGCCTCAGACGTCCATTCGCAGCGAGCTCTTGCCTGTTCACACACCAGGCCTCCACGTTCCAGCTGCACAGGGAGCCTGGGAGCAAGACACCTCTAAACTTGTTTCCAGATCAGGATTTGTAAACGGTCAGTTTATCTTCAGATGACTCGGATGATCATTCGGTGGCCCCGCGTGACTGTGATTGGTGAATTGTTAGGATGGGCAGTAATGTCGCTGCCGGTGGTAATGTCGCTGCCGGTGGCGTGGGGGGGCCCCCCCTCCCCTGGGAGCCCGGGAGCGGGAGGTCGGCCCTGTTTTCCTGGTCAACCTCTTCCAGGCGGGCGTCGATCTCATGTCCTTCATCTGCTCTCTCTGTCCCTATGCGGCGCCCCCTCCCACAGACGGGGCTCCTCTTGTCATCACCGAGGCGTGGCCACCTAGCTGGGGGTAGCTCCAGGGCCTCCCTGCGGCCTCCCCGCACACAGGGCGCCTGGCAGGCTGTCTGTCGGAGGTGGGAGTGGGGCCTGTGTGCAGCCGGCCGCTCCTGCCACCGCTCAGGATTCACGGCACACCCCCAGCAGAGGAGCGGGGTCCGCGTCGGTCAGCGTCGCCAGTCTGGCCCGAGAGTCAGAGGCGGTGCCGGGCGCACGGCCGGATGCAGCAGCCCAGAGGACCATAAACCAAAACCAAACTACACGCACTGCTGTCCAGTCGATCCGACTCATAGTGACCCTCCTTG